TTATTGGGTATTCACGTTGAGGGTTTTTTTTTTTTTTTTTGGGTGACATCTTCATAGTGAAAACCTTATGGCAGGCTCAGAATAAAACAGTTATGTCATTGTTTTCATTGTGATTTGTCAAAGGCCTTCCAATGCAGTTGTAATCAATGATGCTGACTAGAGAACCAGTTAAAACATGCCAAAATGAAAAGCACGTGGCCTATGCCAACTCTATAACAGAAGCTCTGCCCTTCCTACATTGTTGCTCGAACCCTGTTCTCTATGCTTTTATGGAGTGAAATTTAGAAAATAACTTTGTGAAAATAAGAAGTCTGTGCTGGGTGTGATAGAGACACAGAATATGTAAAAATTAAAGGGGAAGCTCTGAGACTGCCAGTTTCTAGGAAGAGAAGCAAAACCTATGAACAATATGGTGCAGTTACTATATGTGCATACAATCCATCTCCATCACTTAGTACTTGTATTCATATCACTCATAGATATATCACTTTTGACCTTCTCTTATCTACAGAAGCTAAACTAAACCAATTTTATTTTCAGACCAGGATCTGGTCCCCAAGCCTTTGGAGCATTTTATAAAAATACAAGATTGGCAAAAACGCAGCACTACAGATCATCACAATTTCTTAAATTGGTTTATAATGTTATAGTACAGTGCTTTGTTAACAAGCCTACAGTGCCAAGGTGCCAAAGTGGTGTTTAATGTTATGAGACAAATATAAAAATCTGTAAGAACTGATTTGAAGGCAGATCATGTCTGTGAACCACTTCCTATGAATCGGACAGATCAGCACTGAAATGATAGGATTAGTACTTTGCGGGAGAAACATACTCTTTTGTATCTGACTAAAAATCAACATTTGATCCACAAAAGGGTATTTAAACGGCTACAGATGTGTCTTTAGTAACACCTAATGGTCAGCAAGAACAGGGTTCCCTTTTGCTATGTAATTAAAATATATATTAGTTTGCTTTATTACTATACCCAATTACTACTCTTTAACTATTAGCTATATGCAAAAGTGCAAGTGACCTTCTACACTTTGGCTGCTTTACAGCTTTCTGTACATACATCCTAGCATGTTCAGACCACATTAAGGGGATAATGTAGCTACATAACATTAATCATGTACAAAGCATGGTTCCTCAAATTGAGCTCTCCAGATGACTTCATGGATATATCCATGTAGTTTTCTTGGCAACAGTACAGAAGTGTTTTGGCACTGCCTCTTTTCAGGTGTGTTTTCAATTTTGTAATCTGATCTACAGCCATATAATTTCCTGGTGGTCTCCAATCCAGTTATTAATCAGGGCTGACTCTACTTAGGTTTTTTAAGATTAGCCAAGGTCAGCTAGGCACTGATACCTCTTGTGTTCAAATGTAATTCTTCTGTTTACGTAATCTGTTAAACATGAACAAACCTTATATTCCCACAAAGTATACTGAATTAGTTAGCTGTCAGGGCACTTCATGCTTTTTATTGGAAGTCACATATAATTCCCTCCATAGAATACTGGCGAATAAAATTGTGGGAATGTAAATCAATGTCAAAAATAACTTCATGTTTGAAAAACAAATCTGATACTGAATTCAACTAAATTGAGAACCATTCCTTGATTACAGTTCTACATATTAGCTTGTACTACATATGAAGTTTGGGTTTCTTTTAACATAGCCACAGAAATTTTAGATTAGACAGAAATTTTTGTAATTACGTATTTTGATTTCTAATTCATATTATACTAACTTTTGTTGCTAGTCATTGTGTATCAACTTAATTTGAATAATGTCTTGAAGTTCTAAATTGATACAACATACTTTAATATCAGCACTAGTCTAATGTGATTTTATTTAATCTTATAATGTTTGTAAATCTATTTTCTTTTGTTTTTCTTATTTTCTGGGTTAAACAATTATTAAAAGAAACACAGACTCACTGTTATAACGTATTTTATAAATAAAGGCACTGATTTATGTTTCACTCTTCTTCTAAATCTTGCTGTGCTTTACATAACAATCAGTTTGTTGTAAGGGAAGGGCAGTAAGTTAGGCAAGTAACTGCAACCCATGAAAAATAGAAGAGTTTCATAGAAGTGGGGAAATATATATTATATTACAGTATCTCCTTCTCCAACCTGATGTCCTCCAATTGCTGGAAACAACTTCCCTAATCTCCATTTAGGATGGCCATCAATTTCCAGCTAGCTTCAAATTCTGATGTCAGATTACCCTTGGCAGGCGCCAACTCAACCGAAGCTTCTCAGAAACTCAACACAGGAATGAATAATCTTTAGCATAACACCAGAACTGAAGATCATTGCCTCTGACTGCTAAGGCTATTGTTCTATCTTATAACCTTTTTGGTTTAATTTTGGCATCATTTCCTCTTGCTTTTTCCACAGCTTAATGGAAACCCCATTTCATGCTTCCCACATCCTTTGCGTTCCTGCCCTGGTGAATGTTGGCTTTATTTATATTAAAACTACATCTTCATTTCCCAGCATATAGTGCATTGTGCCATATCTACCTCTCTCTATGTATATTTATTGTCATTTCAGTTTTCATTAGGGCTTTAAATTGTATGGATTAGAGCAGTGTTTCTCAACCTTGACAACTTTAAGATGTTAAACTTCAACTCCCAGCTATGCTGGCTGGGGAATTCTGGAGGTTGAAGTCCACACATCTCAAAGTTGTCAAGGTTGAGAAACACTAGATTAGAGGTTACTGTAGATGCTTTAATTGTTCTTAAATTGTATATCCTGTAAGCTGCTGAATCGGAGTACCAGTTTAATAATAAATAAAGAAGCAAACAAATATCAACTCCACTCCACAAGATCAGACCACTTTCAGTCAGATGTAATACTTCCCATCTTTTCTTTTCATTCTATTTGTTAATCCATGCTTTTATCATATACTCATCCTACATTCTATGTTGTGGTCTTCTATATATCACAGTTGGGCCCACAAATATTGACCTCAGTTGCCCATCATGGTTTTGATGAACCAAGACTTTCACATCACACTTTTCAGTAATATAGAGAAGATGTAGAATGGTTACCAAATTGAGTCCCATCCATGCCACATGCAGCATTTCCTGCAAATGGTAAAAGTCGAACCAGTTTAGGCACATTTGGGCCAATCTGCCAATAGTACTATCAAGTACTTACATATAAATAAGGACATATTTCTCAGCTGACAAGCTGATTATCTGCAGAGGAGGCTTCTTGGGTACACATGTGCACCTGTAGCATTTATGCTGCCCACATGGCATTTTGGTGAAAAGGAAAAGGAGGTGGAGGCATTCAGCATAGCTGTGACTGGGTAGCAACAGCATCTCGAAAGAAACAAATTTTGTTTGTGCTTTTTAGACAGTGCATGCATTTAAGAAATTGGCCTGTCACTGTCTATTTCTATTATCCCAAGAAGCTACAACTAAAAGTAAACAATTTACCACAACTCTGCAATGTAATTCAGAGATGGGGAACTGAGAAATAATAGCTGATGACAGTTAATATCTTGGCGGTCCTCCAGACTGGAGCTCAAAATTGCTCTTGCAGTATAGCGTTGCCAGTTAAGATCTTTATCTTATCCCCCACTTTGACCAACCGTGAGGCTCGTATTACCATCCGGCCGGCTGTCTTCACCGCCGGTCTCCCTCAGGCTCGATGCGGTAGCAGCACCGCGTGGGAAGAGGGATTTTATAACTGAGTTCACCCTAAGCCTGCATTTCCTTGAAAAGAAAAGGTCGCCGCTGCCGTTCCCGCGAGCCTCAGAGGGCTCCAGCTGAAAAACATGCTTTCGATCGAAATGGAGCCTTCAAGCCGCCCGTTATTTCCTATTGCGGCTGTTCCGCCGATCCAACAGCCTTTACACCTGAATGCCAATGAGGTGACGCTAGTTATAAGCTGCCTCCACAAAACCAGCCTCAACTAAGGGCCCGTTGCCGGTTTTCGCTTCCACACCAGCGCTTGGAGCTTCCCGCCCTCATTTGGCGCAAAACGAAAATTGCTGCTCTGGGGTCTTCCTCCAGCCGCAAGACAGGGAGAAGCCGAGGTCCGTCCTTCATAGTTTCCCGCTCTTTTCCTGCTACCCCGCTTTGGAACAGCGGCGCGGCTTAAGTTCGACCCCCTCCCCCCACGTTGGGCGTTCTAACGGAGGATTCGACCTGATGCGTCACAAACCATTCTTTTCCTTCCCTTTAAAGAACTGAAGCGTGGCCTTCTCTGTGGTCAGCGTCCTCCGCTGGGGGGTTTGGAGGCTGGGCTGGGGAAAAGGGGTGTAAGTGTGGGCGGTGGATGACCTGGGTTTCGCAGGGAAGGCGCTGGGGGGCTGCGTCCCACAGCAACAGGGCGTCGTACCCTTGCCATAGGCTCACTGTTGGGAAAAGGAGGAAAATACGGAATGGCTCAAAAGAAGGAGGCATCTCGACTCCTCTATGGGGGAAGGAAAAGAGAGGGAAAAGGTTGACAGCCAAACATGGAGGGCACCTAACAATGGCATTGTCATAGGGTACAATGAAAAGAAAGAGGTATTAAGTTATGCATATAATATGGGAGGAGGAACTGGATGTGAGGTTAATTGGACTTTACATGATATTGTCTCGCTGGATTAATTTACTTCTGCTGAAGCACATTTATTGAAGAATTCAATGTCTAAGTGATTCACCTCTGGGCTTTGGCACTTATTTAAACATGTGTTATTTAAGAAGTCCTGTTGTTAATGCTTGTTAAAGATTCCTTAAAAAAATAATTATTGAATATTCCTAAACCAGTACCTTTATGAGAAATGGAAAGAAGTAGGTGAAATTAATTATTTACATGTCTTCTGAAATACTGTTAGAAGGCCATATCCTTTTAAATTGGTGGCAGATTATTTAGAAAACTTTAAACAAGATACTTTTGAGCTCAACATGGTTACAAAATACTTCATTAGGCAAACCAGAGAATGTGATTATGATTTTATTGTTGTGGGACTGAAGTTGGAGTATTAATTCAAAATGTTTGTTCTACAATTGCTAATTTTTGATGTGATAGTCATAGGACTATCGATATGACTTTCCAGTAGTAATAGTTACTTGTAGCCCTTGTATGGGAACCTATCTCGAATGATGAATATTTCATTTGGAGGTGAGGAATATGGGTAGATAAAAGAATGTGTATACCACTTTGGAAGGACTAAGCTATGCATGACATGAAACAGTGGACTGTATAAGCATTTCATTTCAATCTGTGATCAGGCATCCTAGGTTTCAGCCTGCCAGTACTCTTTGTCTTCCATGTGTCACTTGGAACAGGAGGGAATGGAAAATAACAGTTGCTGGGGGTTGCATAAAGTTAGACCATGGATTAAATGTAGTTTATGTTCAGATGGTTGCCCATCTTAGTTTTAAATAAATAATAAGCTGTTATCATATTTCTTTTTAAAAAAGAAATACTATAAGATTGTGTAGGTTTTTCATTTAAAGACAAAAATGTGCTTCAGAACCTGCAAGGTGTGACTGCAGCAACTCTGTGCACCTCCTCAAATTAAATGTATCTTTGTGCAGCAGCTGTGTGATTCCAGGATAAGGTGCAGCTGTTTTAAGGAGTTGCAGACCAATGCTGCATTAGTGCCCCTTTGCCCCTTGGCATCTTCTAGAGCATTTCTTTATCTTCAGAAGCCTGCATAGCCATACTATTTCCACTCTAAATAAGCATAAAATTACTTATTGCAACTTTCTAGATAATAGGACAATAAGATAATGAAATATGTGTGTGTTTTTAATAAAATCTATTCCCTGAATAATTTCTTTTTATTTCTACTTTTAGGCAAAAAGAACAAACTTTAAGAAAAACAAGGAACCGAAACTAGAATGATTTCACAATCTCTGTATTTTTCCAGTTTGTATAGCTGTTCTCTATATAATCAAGTTAAATGATTTTTCTGTAGATAAATTGTGTCAGGTAAGTGACTTGATATACTAACACAGTAACCCTATTTTGTATCTTGAGTATGTGTGTACAAAACCTTCCATTTAGAAATATATTGATCCATAGATTTTAGGAAAAACAGTACCAGAATGAAAAGTGTTTTTAAGGGATAGCTTTCTATCAGAATTATATTCTCTGCTTTTATCAAAAACTAATTTATAGTTTCAAGGTGTTTGAGTTTGAAGTTAGCAAATTGAAGTAGAAGATATTTTAACTAGATCCTGTTTATGCTTCCCAACAGCATGTGTCTGGTATTAAAAATGTTAGCGGAAACAAGGAAAAAATCCTCTTATATCAAGCATTTCTCTAACAGTCAAATATTTGCAGATCAGTACAATTACCTTTATAGGCTTATAAAATTACTTGTGATATTATGCTTCTAGGAATTGTCCATGTGTAACATATTTTAGACAACTTCTGAAAAGTTGTAAATAGTCAAGTCAGCTTTGGCAGGGAGCAGTATAGGTAGGTCTTGGGTTATGATGGCAGTTGGGACTGGAATTGCCATGGCTAAGCGATGCAGTGGTAAAGTGCAACATCATGTGACCACACTGCTTAGCAACAGCAGTTCCAGCAGTCCCGGTTGCTGTCATTAAGCGAGGACCTTACATGACCGTGACTTCCTGCTGGCTTCCCCATTGACTTTGCTTGTGGGAAGCCAGCAGGGAAAGTCAGAAATCACAGTCACATGATAGCAGCTTGCTGCAATGTTGTAATTGCAATCCAGGTGCCAAGCGCCCAGATCTCAATCATGTGACCGCAGGGACACTGTGATTGCCAGAACTCTGAGGACCGGTTGTGTAAGTCACCCTCATACAGCACCATTGCAAGTTTGAATGGTCGCTGAATGAGTGGTCATAACCTGAGGACCACCTGTATGTGCATGCTGCCTTAGTAAGAAAATTCTGTTTATTGAACAGGTGTGCTGAGCCTTTTCTACATGAGAGACTAATACTCCTTTTTTCTCTGCAGTTCTCTTTTCCCAGTCATGCCTACATTAGAAAACATTCGTTCTGTGATACGTATGACTAAACACAGATTAAGAAGAACATGTACTCTGGATGAGATCAAGAAAGATATCTCTTTTTTACATCCCCCTCCAAATGGGGGTTGGGGTTGGGTTGTAGTTGTAGCTGCTGCTACTCATTGCTTGCTTGTCAGTGGATTTCATAGCGCCTTTGGTGTTTACATGCTGCCACTTCTTGACACATTTAAATCCAGTAACTCACGGATAGGTAAGTCATTGTCACATGATATATTAAGATAATTTCCAGCATAGCTTTGATATATTTGTACCACAGTTTTATTTTTCAATTATATCTTGCTTAACAGTCTGTAAGCAAGCAGTTTAACTTGTATACCAGTGCTCTTGAAGACCACAAGAATTAGAATAATTTACATCGGTGAAACATGCAATAATTAATTTGTTCTTATTTTTTATATGTTTAATTAAATGTATTTGTCTTTCTAAGCCTGGATTGGATCTGTCAGCTATGCTTCCATTATGATTTTTGGTCCTGTTTCTGGAAAACTTCTGGTGAAGTATGGAGCTATAAAAGTGGCGATAATTGGAGATCTAGTGGTCATATGTGGTCTAGTGTGTTCATCCTATACTCATGATTTACGTTTGCTGTTTTTTACACATGGAATCATTGTTGGTGTGGGATCAAGTCTGGCTTACACTCCAGGTAACACTTTACACTAAAGTCAAATTTAGTCACATGTTCTGTTTTCGAAAACATATTTTTGTTTTGCTTTTCTTTTGTGAAAGAAAAAATGTCATAATGTAGGCAGTACTTTTTCATGAGAAAATAATAACATTTTTTGTTATGATAAGATGTATAATTCACAAAAGTACATATTTAGAACAAGGTATCATTTATACATTTTAGTTTCCCAAAATGTGTTGGAAGTTGCAAAAAACTGAAAAATGTACTGTTTAAAAAACACTAAACAACAGAAGAGAATATGATCTTTTATCTTATTCAATCTCACTGTCTCTGATACTGTTTTTGTACAGTTTATTGGGTTTGTTCAATTAAAAACTTGCAGTCTAAAACGCACTGAAGATGTTACTTAGTGAGGTGATGAAATGTTTGCAAGAAAACAGCCAAGCTCAGAGAACCCCAAGGACTCCATAGTCTAAAACACATTTTGAATACGCCTTCACATTTTTGCAAATCATTACATAAATTGTTTTACTTTTATATGTGAACACAACAGTACACATAGAATACCTGATTCTAAAAACAGTTTTATAAATGGATTCTTTGTTAAACTGTGATATTTTCTTTCTCAGAGCTTATCATATCCATTAGGAGGGAACGGAAAATAAAGGATATATACATTTTTAAAAATATATCCTAAATATTATGGAAAGTTAATGAAAGTTGCATTTGTAGTTTACAGGGGAAGAACACTTAATTTGATAGGGCTAGAAAGTAATTTTTCCCTGCCCTTTATATTCCACTAAGAATTGATTATATCTTTTTTTTAATCATTAGATGTATGGATTCAGATTGATGCAAATCAAAGTCATCCTATAGGATGTACATTTTAGCAAATATATAATTCAGTAAAGAAAATACATAAGACAACTATTATCCTAACTCATACTGGCCACTGTTGTTCCATTGTGATCTACACCAGAAGTACATAGCCTCTGTTGACAGGTCTCTCAAGAGATTTACAAAAAGTTGTTACCGTGTCATTTTTAATGAGAGTGAAGGAATTAAATAAATGACTGAAATGTAATAAGTTTAATACACTGTATTAGTTTTTAATTAAATGTAAATGAAGTCAAGTTTAGTTTGTCCTAACCTAAACTATTATTTTTTTGGAGTGTCTCATCTACCATCTAGCATGTGGCTCAAGGCTAAACTGGCTCTCAGTCCAAGAAATACTGTGCAACCGTAACTTACACTAGGCTTTGGGAAATTCTACTCCTGGCTTCTTTTCTACAACTCCAGAATGCCCTCCCCATCATACTGTTAGAAAAGGGGGCAAAATGCCAGAATTTAAGACATAATGCTGAGTAATATGTTGATTTTTTGAGTTGAAACAAATGTAGTAGGTCTGTTAAGTCTGTGATAAGTTTAATATGCCTATTTTAGCCCTTTTCAGTTTACCTGTATTTGTCTTCTTGCTATAGCTGCCTAAGATGCATTGAGAGCTGATCAAGAAAGTCTCCAGACTTCTGGAATGATTTCTAAAGGGACTTGAAGGGCTAGGAAATGCCCCCCACCAAAACTTGCATACTTATAAAATTTCATCCTGCCCATTACAGAGGAAGTAAATTCCAGTTATTTCATTCATCAGGTTTAAAATAAGTCTGGCTTGCAAATGACCCCAGCATATGTGTTTTTAATACAATGCAACGGAGAGCAAGCCTCATTGACTACAAATAGTACCATCATTTTTTGCCAGGGCCAATGCAAAGAAGTAGCTGTACATGTAAACTCTCTCCTTTCACAGTTCTGTTTCTCATGATTAATAAGACTTAACACAGTGAGAAGTGACTGGACTTCAGTATAAAACAACTGTTTTTAATTATTGTATTTCTTTATAGGCCTGATAATGGTTAGCCTTTATTTTACTACAAAGCGCTCATTTGCCACTGGATTAGTGATGGCTGGAGGGGCTGCAGGAACTTTCGTACAGAATAAACTTCATAATTATCTAATTGAGAAACTTGGATGGAGAGAAAGTTTACGTGTATATAGTGGAATTCTATCCATATGTATTTTTGCTGGATTTGCATACAAGCCTCTTCAAAAACGTATGTAACTGCTTTGGGCATTTTTAATTAAATATCTCCTTTTCCATGGTGGGGGGATCCATATTTGGTAAAACAATAATACAAAATAACACAAAAAATAATTCCCTGCCGGCTTTTGAATTCCCCCAAACAGTAGACAAAATAGCACTCTCAGTAATAAATAAATAACAAAATGGGAATAAAAAGAAATAAGAAAATCCAACATTTGGGACAAATATTACAACCATGAGGTTTGCAATTTGATCCCAATCTGGGATGCAGTTTTTAGACTGAAGGCACCAATGGACCGTGTCATACAGCAAATACAAATTATGTAAGAGGTACATGATTCTTCTCAATAGGGCCACTTGTTGGCTTTTGTTCCTTTTAATAGAAGGGAAAAATTTGGTGGATGTCATTTATCCCTCAAGAATAAGAAAACTTGCACTTGCTTAAACTAAAAGGTGACCCTGCTTTATCTCCTCACCTTTTCATAGACAGCTTTCCAAAGTCCCTTTCTCATTTCATTTAAATAATGTGTTGGTAATACTGGGACAAATTTTTAATAAGATAATATGTAACTATTGACTACAGACAGAATTATATGTTACAAACACACTTCTACTCTTCCTAAATGACCTATTTCCTATCACCTGCTCTCATTTATGATTCTGTCTCCAATGTAAGTTGGGTTCTCAGCTGATAAGAATTCAGGAGAGGATTATGTAAATAGATACCTGCAAGCTCAACCATTATCAATAAAGACCGTTATCAATAAAGAGATCTGCCTCTTGACTGTTTATTTTATTTATTTAATAAATTTATATGGTAGCTTTTCTGTTCACAGAAAAGCTGTCACAAATTAATTAGGAAAGACCTGCCATAATGCTTTAGAAGATAAAGCCATTCCACTGGAAATAGTCTAGTTCCTGAAATTTATGCTCCCTATCCCTTTCATTTCAGTAAATCTTGTTAAGAAGATTATGGGTGACATGTGCCTGGAAAACTGAAAACAAACTTTTTGAGTTAATATCCCAGAGTTTATACCCCGTGACTGCACCTAAGCAACCCAACCCATTTCTTAAATCATCCACGCTGTTTGCTTCTAGGAATGCAGATTACTAATTTAAGTAGTTGCTTCAAGTATCTAGAACAAACTTCCTCAACCTAGGGAAAACTGAGTTGAATTGTAACTCCCATTATCCCGTCAGCCCTATAAAGTAGACCAGACTAAGAAACCAGTGCCATATAGGTCTAAAACTACTTTAATTGGAACAGCTATAGTAATAGAATCTTGCAAGTCTGAATGTGCTGTCTGAGATGTTTACTCAGATTAGTTTCTTGGAATGGATTTAAGCCACGCTTGTCTGATTGTTGCCTTGGTAGTGGCTCTTCCTCATGTTTTTCAAGGCCATTCCTTATGCCCTTTACACATCCCCACCGAGCATGTTGACTGGATTATGGGAATTGTAGGCACTAGGATAGGAGAAGGCTAGTGTGGTGCCTATGCATGATAAAGGAAAATTGTCCCTGCCACAAGGAACTGATTCTCCCTAACGGCCCTACCTGCTCCAGCATGTCCAGCGAGAAATGTTTGCATAGGTTCTTATGGTACACAAAATCATTCTTTGCAATCATCAGCCTCAAAATAATTGGTTAAACATCACACAAATCTGTTCTGTGCACATTTGTCATATGTTCTTTATGTGATTCAGGTTACAAGTAATTGTTTTATTTATTGCTTTCTAATGATGAACTTCATCAGTATAATTCAATGGCATTGTGAAAATAGTAGCAATGATTTGTTTTGTTTTTACTTTTTATTTTAAAGATAGAACTCATCCAAGTGTAGTTGAAAAATTTAAGACATCACCACTAAGAGGTTTTATAGTTGATTTAGGTTTGTGGAAAGATCGTATTTTTGAGGTATGGGTCAGTTCTCTTGGATTAGCAAAATTTGGATTCTACATACCTTTTGTGCATATGGTAAGTTGTAGTTACTTTTTTTTTTTACTTTTCTGCTATAGCTTAGAATGCTCCATATTTTTATAGCATATGTAAAGCATGTATATTCTAAATACATTAAGACATGTGGCTAGCATTCAATCTTTTCCAATGTTTTAATCCTTACTAAAATTTGGAGAAGAAATTGAGGGGCAGGAGTGGGCTACATCAACCTGGGTCAAATTGATTTATTTTTAGTAGGAGTAAGGCTGCAACTTGTGCATAATAGGTAGGTGGTCATTGCTAACAAGGGTAACTTTATTTCAATAGTGTCAGATATACCAACTGCAGTCTAGTCTGCAGTAACTTTCAAGACTTGAATAATACTTTCTGGATTACCTTTGAGGAATGTTTTTGTAAGAAAACATGGTGTCATTGCCTCAGGATCTAAATTTGATGTCCTCTTCATGTATTGGATCAAATCCCATAGCCCCCTCTCAGTATGATCTTTGGCTATGAATTATGGAGGCAGCAGATTGGAGAATGCTGATGTAGGCAATGAAGGTAGAAGGAGTATGAAATGTTTGGATTGTCAGTTAATCACATCTATTTCCTTTTGCTGACTGTTTGCATAAACCTTTAAACAAGTGTCACTTAAGCTTATACTTAATTACTGTTAGCTTAGTTATAACTAGTGTCCACCAAACACAGAGTACTTTTGAAAAATGAAATCTAACATGTTAAAAATAGCTGTTGCTTTTCTTACAGATGAAACATGCAGATGATTTGGGTATTCCATTGGAAAAAGCATCCTACATTATGGTAGGACTTGGAGTAAGCAGCATGATTAGTTGTCTTCTGTTTGGAAAAATTTGTGATATTGAAAATATTGACCGACTTTATCTTAATCAGGCATCCATATTATCTGTTGGTAAGTTTCAGAATAAGCTTCTGGATGTGTTTTGTCTGAGAAATCAAAACGTTTTAATATAGCATTATGGTTCTAGAAGCACCTATAGTATCACTTCTTGCAGATGTCAATTATGTCAGCACAACTGCAAGTTAAAGCTGTGCCTTAAGTTAATTGTTGCCTAGTTTTCTTGAGACAATATCCCACAGTCGCTGGTCAGCATGATGATTGGGAATTGGGGAAATGGAATCATAGACCTGAGGTGGATACTAAGTTGGGAGAACCTGACTTCCTTATGCTACTCCAGCAGAGGGTACTAGGTGTGTGGAACCAATGCATAGATTCCTCAGTATGGTGCATGGAAGACAACTCTGCTGCTTGAGAAACAGAAAATTCTTAGTAGGCAGAACTAAATTATTGGAAATTAGCAGTGGCAAAGCCTGATGATCATTGTTCTATCTCAGTTTCCATTACAGGGTTAATAAACATGTTTTGTTCATACTGAAGCATACTTCCTTCATGTTTTGTTTTGTTTTTCAGGTGTGGTCTACTTTATTATTCCTCACTGCACATCTTTTGCCTCTCTTGTAGCCATCTGCTCCCTTTTGGGATTTTTTGATGCAGGAAACTATGTTCTCCTACCTGTCCTTACATTTGATTTGGTGGGAGCAGAGAGAATGCCTGTTGCATGGGGATTTATGATGGCTGTCAATGCAATTAGCTGTTTTGGTCCACCCTTTGCAGGTAAACCAGTTAGTGTGATTGTGTGATTTTTCTGTACAGATACAACTGAACATTGTTAGCCTAGATAAAACTTTACTGTTAATCTGTCCAAGAACTGACTCTTCCTATGGCTTTCCTATTTCTTTTCTGTGTATGCCTGTACAGGTGGTCCTTGTTTAATGACCACTCATTCAGCAACCATTCAAACTTATGATGACACTGAACAAGTGGTAGTTATGACCAGGCCTCATATTTACAGCCGCTGCAGCATCCCACAGTCATGTGATCACGATTTGCAGCCTTCCCTGCTGGCTTCCTACAAGCAAAGTCAATGGGGAAGCTGGCAAGTTGCCGTCCTGTAAGGACCTTGCTTAATGACCTGCACAGTCCTTGCTTAACAATGGAAACTGGGGACTACCAGAACCGCCATCGCTAAGCAGTGTGGTCATGGTTTTTTTTGACTTACGACTGCTTTGCTTAATGATGGAGTTTCCAGTCCCAATTAACATAGTTAAACAGGGACTACCTGTATAACTTTTAGGATCAGGAAGGTATGTGCTGTGATTACTTAAATCTATTTCATACTGACGTGTGTGGTATCATTTGAAAGAAAATTCTGTTTTGGGAAAGGAACACAGAAAGTAAACAACATATTTGTGTTTCAGGTATAGTGTATGACATGTATGGCAGTTACACCATTGGCTTTGTAGTAACCGGGATTTGCTATATTGCAGCAGCTAGCATACTTGCTTTAATACCTTGGTTGCAAAGAGAAGCAGTTCAGTCAACGAAAAACTACATTAATGCTTCTGTATGTATCATAACCAATACCATAGTCCCTTGGCAATCACCAACTCCTTCATTAGGGGTAAGGAGTATTTGTTGATATTTCTTTCTCTAAACAATGAGATTCAGCCTTTGTGTGTGTGTGTGTGTGTTTGTTTGGTAGTGTGAATTCTGTGCCAGTCTGGTCTTGAGTAGGCATTTTATCACAATGTCCCTTTCACATTATTACTATTTCTGTTGAAAGATGGTAGAAAAATTAATATTAAATGTTCATCATGGTCTTTGTGATTTGCATGAACATGATGTGCCAGCTACACAAAGACTCATTTAAACATCTCAGACTTTAGAGATTTAGGCATGAATCCCTGCCCTTTGTGTGGTTCCAACTAATGTTTTAAAACTGCCTCAGTTGCAACATGTTTAGCCAATTTCTCCAGAGATTTGTTTCCCAATTGTGTTATTTTCTTTTTTGGGGGGTCATTTTATTCATTTTTGTTTGTTTGTTCCTAGACAAATGCAAAAAATAAATATGATTTCCTTAGGGTTTGCCTTTAAGGTCCTTGAAAGCCCTTTTGGTAAATGCCAGTAGTGGAGAGGTAACCCACCCTGAACATAGCTTATGCCCCTTTTGTGTGGGAAAAATGTATGATATACACTCTCACCAACAATATCAGATATCCATAAAGGAGGCCTGATATAATTACTTTTCCTGTCAGCAACTCATTGGAAACAGTACTTAAAAGCTGTTGAATCCATAGCATCTGAATGTCCAGATTGAGGCCTCAGTGCCTGTCTTGTCTGCCTCAAATACTGTACAGGTAGTCCTTGTTTAGTGTCCACAGTTGGGACCAGCAACTTGGTCATTAAGTGAAGCAGTTGCTAAGTGAAGAATCACACGACCATGATTGCACTTGCAATTTTACTTCAGCTGTCCTTTGTCTTACAGTGTCAGAAGGATAGGACTCCATTTGGCTGGGTGAGCCCACACAGCGGGGAAGGTTTCCAGAACTCAACTCATGAGGAAGCTGGGTAAAAGGGCAAATCTTATAGCCCCTTTTCCCCCACTTCCCTGCCCTTTGGAATGCTCACCCTCATGTTGGGATAATTAGCAAGAAGGAAATTAATGTTTGTATTTACAATCATTGGAGAGGAAGGAATTACAAGAGAGTAAGCAGGCACACAATGGAAATACATATAGAAAGGAATGTGCTAGCCCTGGCTGTTTGCTTAGGGTGCTGGGGGTTGCCTGCTGCTAAGGAGGCAAACAAAAGCTGAAGGTGTGAAACTGATTAAGGTCTTGTCAGTTTCAGGCAGCAGCTGTGAGCCAGCTAATTAAGGTCATAGAACTGAGCTTGTTATCTTGGGCTGTGGAGAAAAGCAGCTCAGGAAGAGATCGCTTATTTAGGCAATCTCTCTGCTCTGCAAGAAAGTGGGGGGGGGGGAGGTTGTAAATGAGGTCATTGGTCAAAAATTATTTTTTTATCAACATCCCAACTGCTAACAGTTACTGTCCAAGGCAGTCACTAAACAAGGACTATCTGTATATAATCTATCTGGACCAGATACCTGGCAACAGCATCTATTCAAGATTATTTATGAGCTTGAGTGGTTTCCCCAGTCTTGACATTTCCATGGAACAGAACGTAGTTCTGGCAGCCAGGGACACACCTTCCTACCCTGCTCTGGGTGGGAACGCCAATCATTCCAGACCCAACACCTGAGAAGAAAGCTAGGTTTTTCATGCCTTTCTGAAGACCAATAGCGTTGGTCTAATTGTACACTGGGGGGGAGGGGGAGGAGTTTATTCCAGAGAACAGATGCCATAGTGGAAAAGGCACACCTCCTGGGACCCATCAGATGGCATTGTTTCAAGGAAGTCACCTAAAGTGTGCCCACCCTATTAAAAAGTGTGGGATGAGCAAATAATTATTGGGGAAAGATAGTCCAACAAATTGCCCAGCCCTGTGCAATGTAAGACTTTATAGAATAGACCCAGGGCTTTGAATTGCACTTGGGAGTCAATAGGAAGCCAGTGTAGCTCACAAAGTAGTGGTGCTATTTGGTCATATCAAGGTGTGCTCATAACTACCCATGTCACAGCATTCTGAACCACTTGTAGCTTCCTGATGGTCTTCAAGGACAACTCCGTGTCCATCTTATTTATTTATTTATTTAATTTTATTTATTTATACATCACATTTATATAACTGCCCATCTCACACAAAGCAACTCTGGGCTGTGTACAACAATTAAAATAACAAGTGAATAAAAACAGGCATTATAAAAAGATAAAAGTTAGTATTAGAATAAAAACATCACACATTTTAAAAAAATAGATTTTAAAATATACAAACCCTACAGAGAAAGCAGAATATCAATTACAGTGGAGCCATTTAAGAATGTCTCCAGTTCCCAAGGACCTCCAGGCCTGATGACACAACCAGGTCTTGAGGGACTTCCTAAATGACAGCCGGGAAGGGGTGAGCCTAACTTCAGGGGGGAGAATGTTCCACAAGGAGGGAGCCATGGCAGAGAAGGCCTGCCTCCTGGGACCCACCAAATGCAAGTCCCTGGCTGATGGAATGCATAGCATACCTTCCCTGCCAGATCCAATGGGATGGGCTGAGGTGATTGGGGAGAGGCGGTCTCTCAGATAACCTGGCCCCATGCCATGAAGGGCTTTAAAGGTCAAAACCAGCACCTTGAATTGGACCCAGAAACAAACCGGCAGCCAATACAACTCACGAAGCAGAGGTGTAATGTGTGCTCTTCTAGGAGCACACATAACTGTCTGCACTGCTGCATTCTGCACCAGTTGAAGCTTCCAGATACTCTTCAAGGGCAGACCCATGTAGAGCGCATTACCGTAGTCCAATCTGGAGGTGACTAGGGCATGAGTGACTGTGAGTAGAGCCTCCCAATCCAGGAACAGGCACAACTGATGCAAAACAAAGCTGTGCAAAGGCCCTCCTAGCCACAACTGCCACCTGCTCTTCCAGCAGGAGTTGCAAGTCTAGGAGGACCCCCATATTGCACACTGGGTCTGTCTGGGGCAGCGCCACCCCATCCAACACCAAAGATGGTATAGTTCCAGAATTGGCAGGACCCTGAACCCACAGCCACTCAATCTTGCCAGGGTTCAGTTGAAGCCTGTTGTTCCCCATCCAGTCTCTCACAGCCTCCATACAACAGAATAAGGCATCCACAGCATCACTTATTTTGCCAGGGGCAGAGATGTATAGTTGGGTATCATCAGCATACTGATGATACCTCACCTTGTGGCGATGGATGAGTTCACCAGCGGCCTCATGTAGATATTAAATAGGAGGGGAGAGAGTACCGAACCTTGCAGCACCCCACATAACGGGCTGAGGGCAGGATCTCTCCTCCCCAACCACCACCGATTGGAATTGGCCCCAGAGGAAGGAGGTGAAAAACAGAATTTGAACAATGATCATGATAATAGATACAACAGACTTTTAAAATTAGACATATATAAATGTAATTGTCTTTACCTCAGAAACTTAATGTGAATTCAGTTTATGCAAGAGGAAATGTGTTCAGTATGAACTTCCTCCTTCATTGTCACTCAAAATCTGCCTCAGTGTTTTTTTGGTGGGGAAAAGCAAGTGATTACTCCCTTTGTCCACAGAATGGAAGTATGCTGTTGGACTCTCATTGTTAATATTATCCTTCATAATTTCATTTGTTTTCTTATAGAGTATTTCTTCCTCATACACAAAATCTATGCTATCTCCTGAACAAAGTACATCAGGCCATTCTAAAGGATTCAGCATAAAGTCCTTTAAAAGCATACTAAAGTCAGATGCAACGTCATTTAAAAGTGGGACACTGAGTCCGCAAATTACCTCAGACAAAAGGGGTTCTGTGAGTACTGTGGAATATTCAAGTGATCTCCAGGAACACGGTGAGAGTACAGCTGAGTGGCAGCAAGACCTAGGCAAATCAGAATTAACATCTCTTCAAAGTCTAACTTCAGACTCCTTGATCCAGGCAGAACCCATTCCACACGGAAAAGAAGATGGTGTGTCCTTGGATGAATATGAGGGAGATGAAGAAGAGCAAGCTGAGATTACAACAGAGGTGAGGCCTGTGCAAGAGCTAACAGTGCCAGATGCAATATTTGTGAAAAGGGAAAGGTCAGACTCTAAACAGATGGAGCGCATTCCCCACAGAAAAGAAGATGGAGTAGCTTTCTTGGATGAATACGAGGGAGATGAAGAAGAACAAGCTGAAATTATAAGTGAAGTAAGGCCTGTGCAAGAGCTAACAGTGCCAGAAACAACATTTGTAAAAAGAGAAAGGTCAGACTCTAAACAGATGGACCGCATTCCCCACAGAAAAGAAGATGGAGTGGCCTTCTTGGATGAATACGAGGGAGATGAGGAAGAACAAGCTGAGATTACAACAGAGGTGAGGCCTTGAGGGAGATGAAGAAGAGCAAGCTGAGATTACAACTGGGGTAAGGCCTGTGCGAGAGCTAACAGTGCCAGAAACAACATTTGTAAAAAGAGAACGGTCAGACTCTAAACAGATGGAGCGCATTCCCCACAGAAAAGAAGATGGAGTGGCCTTCTTGGATGAATACGAGGGAGATGAGGAAGAACAAGATGAGATTACAACTGGGGTAAGGCCTGTGCGAGAGCTAACAATGCCAGAAACAACATTCATAAAACAGGAAAGGTCAGACTCTAAACAGATGGAGCGCATTCCCCACAGAAAAGAAGATGGAGTGGCCTTCTTGGATGAATACGAGGGAGATGAGGAAGAACAAGATGAGATTACAACTGGGGTAAGGCCTGTGCGAGAGCTAACAGTGCCAGAAACAACATTCGTGAAACGGGAAAGGTCAGACTCTAAGCAGATGGAGCACATTCTTCACAGAAAAGAAGATGGAGTTGCTTTTTTAGATGACTTTATTAGTGATGAGGAAGAGCATTTGAGATGCATGCCCTCTACTTCTCACAGAAAAGAAGACAGGACGGCATCCTTAGAAGATATTGATGACCCTAACAGTTGTCAAAACCAGCTTCAAAGCACAGCTACATTGAGGCCAATGGAAGATGTAACCAAATCAGAAATGACATCCAAAGAAAATAAAACATCATTGAAAGACTCTGAACACCCTTCCCCATAGAAAAAGCAATGATGTGATATTTGCTGAGGATGAAGTTAGCAATTTACCATCACAAGAGAAGAAATAATAAGAATTCATTAGTAATATTAATAAAATTTGATCTACATCTGTATGACTTACTGGTAGCAACTTCCTTGTGTTATATTGTATACTTTTTTGATGGCTGATTACATACCTTTTACAAATAATTGTTTCTAAAATAATTAAGAAAATAATTGTTTCTTAATTTTTCATTATTTTATAACTTAGGTATACAATCAATTCGAAAAGAACTGGATTCCCGGCAGATATTAAAACCTTTTTGTCATTTTGCTGCTTTTGAAAATTAAATGAGCCCTTAAGTTGTTTATACTTCATAGTTAGGCTGAGACTAACAACCTATGCAAGAAGATAAAATATGTAGCTCTCCAAGATTTTCTGCTGCTGCAAAATAGGACTGTATATTCTAAGTGAAAAATTTTGTTCATCATATTGTCCACATATCCAGCTACTTGTTCTTAATGCTGAGAGATTAGATGATACAATATTTTGCTGGTTTCATGATCAATATAGTGACAAAGCAATGTAAAGAGACCGAACAGTAATGTATACCTGATTATTGTTTAGAATATGTTTTTCTAACCTGGTCTAGAATGTTAGATTAGCCACCTGATAATATGTGTATTTAAAGAAATGATGTAATGTGTTTGGTTGCTATCAGTTCTTTATTACAGTACTGATAAGGGTAAAGGCATATTAGGTACTACCCATTTCAAAAGCATGACTGTTCGTGAAAAAGGAATTTCCTGCAAGTAAACAGAACTGGATCATATCAGCATGGGAGATAGTTGCACAGTGCCTTGAATTCTGGGGAAGAGAGATTTGATAGTCATGAATTAGATAAATGACATATATGCTTAATCTAAATAGAAACCAGACTGCTATTTCAATTCTTCAGAAATATGAAAGATACCAGAATGAGCTTATAGGAGCAATCTATTAGGTCTTCATGTAGTTATTTTTAGAGAGGAACAGTTACATTAAAACTTTGGAGATATATAAAAGATACAGAAGTGATCTGTATTGTAGTTACAGTATATGTATAGCTAATCAAAATTAAGTCCTGGTGTTTTCAGGAATATTTATTTTTAGGCTATTATGTTCAGCAGATATTGAATGAAATGTGCTTCAAGAATTACTTGGCTGTGTTTACGCAACATGCTTTCCATGTTTACTGAGTGAACCAATTTTCTGAATTTGCACAATACTTTGAACCGTAAAATAACTGAATAGGTTGGGTTCATAAAATACATGAACTCAACGCTCCCTCCCAGACATTGTTCATCTAAAACTAACCAAACTTAGCATGTTTGAAGAATGTTTTTCAACTGACAACATTGTGAATCATAAACTAACCACATGAGCTGAATTTGCACAAGACTAATTTTGCATGCAGTATGTCATGTAATCACAGGTGAGGTATGAGCAGCAAAACTTAGTTACTGCCTATTCTTATATTCAGATTAAATCCCATTGAGTTTCTTAAGACTTCTGAATACCTGTACAAAATCATTAGATATAGGTCTATATGGTATTTTGGATCCAAAAGACCAAAAGGCGTTTTGTAGTGGTGCATATGTAGCAGCTGTCTGAAAGCCCTTAAACCTTTTTTTTTTTTATCCAAGGATCATGCAGCAGTGGTCACAAAAATCTTAAGAAAAGATGCAGCTTATTGGAGAATGGGCTAGGATAGGAGCTGATACAAAGAGAGAGAGAGAGAGAGAGAGAAGTTAAGGAAATGAGGGATTTTATTCTGGACACTATGATACCTATACTAATGAAGTAATGTGATTTAATAAATATACTACAGGTAGTCCTCGTTTAGCAATCACAATTGGGACCGGCAACTCTGTCATTAAGCAAAGTGGTTCCTAAGTGAAACCGCAACTGTGCTTATGATCTTAGTTCAGCTTTTCTTTGTTTTACAGACCTGTGAAGGTCGTAAATGTGAGGATTGGTCATAAAGTTGCTTTTTCAATGCCATTGTACAGTCACTAAATGAGGACAACCTGTATAAGAAATCAAATCTTACCCTACTTAATTTTCCTCCCTTTCAAATCTCTTTGCCTCACTTTCCGCTTGTAATTTATAACAGAGTCTTCTCCCCCTCTTATTTCTGTTACTGATACCGGAATGCCTGTGAATTTTCTCCCAGCTATTTTGCTGCCAAACAAAGCCTTTAACTCACAAGATTCCACTGTCCAGCAACCGAATATCTGTACACACAACAAAGTCCATCCTCATAGTTTTTCTATACTCACAAGCCACTCCAGGCTTTTCCTTCTAGTCTTCCTCCTGTCCCAGAGCTGAGATCTCTGGACTTGGCAGAATGGGTCATTCCTCCAATTCACTTGATGTTAACCGGGCGATGTCCTCTCCAGCAGCATGTCTTGCAGCATCTGAAATAGAAAGACTCCTTTCTCTGCTTTTCCTTACTCTTTTTATATTCTATATCTAAGGCATCTATGTGCTACTTTATAGGTGCCTTCTAGCATTTCCTCCTTTTCTACCTATGTGCTCTTGTGCTGAGTCATCTGCCTTCCCTAAAAAAATCCATGATCTTAGCATAGATTCAACCGCTTTTCTCCGGCTAGGCACTTCACCCTGCCACACAGCTACCTTAAAGAACTGCTGGTGGATGCTACTTACATGCCCCAATGTGCTCCAAGGCACCTTTTTGCCTTTGTATTCAAAACCTTGCACAGTCTAATAACATTTATCAGTCTTACCCTTTTTCTAATAATAAACTGAGTGTCTATTCTGAAATTGTTTGTCTATGCACTTTACTGAGGTACATATATGACTTGCAAAATAATACATCTCTTTTAATGTTAAATGCCTTCCTTTCGTTTCTTATGAGAATTGGCAAGTAATGATTTTGGGCAGCTATCCATGAAAAGATCTATCGCACTGGTTCTCAACGGGGGCGGTACCGCACCCCCGGGGG